ACTGTGGCTGCGCAGAAGGAAGCCTTCTGAGTGAGCCAGTCAAATGAGCGGCAGATCGGGGGTCGCTGCTTAGCTTCTTTTGCTTCCAGTGACTTTTATCAGTACATATTCTAATTCATCATAGCTCCAATTAAAAAAAATGTTTATAAAACTGTGCAGGTTGGTTCTAGACTTTCTTCATTTTTAAAGTACTTGTAGCACGGAAGCTTCATCAAAGCAAAACTTGGTTTTATTTTTTGTTTTGTTTTCTTGGGATAGACTCTCAGTTCAGGGTGACCGTGAACTCACTATGTAGCCCAGGCTAGCCTCAGAGTCATGGGGATCATTCTGTCTCAGCTTTATAAGTGCTGGGATTACATGCCCAGGCAAAGCAAATACATTTAAATATCTTTATAATATCTGGTGAATCCTTGGTGCATTTAGTCTTTTATTTATTTATTTTTAATTTTGTGATCTGCGGATTGAACTCAGGACCCTGCACTTGTCACGCAAGCACTTATTATACTGAGCCGTCTCCCTGGAGTGCATTTTGTCTTAAATGTTTTATTTTCCAGGAACTCCTATCATATAATAGGTCTTTTGTTTGTTTCTTTGTGTGCAATTTTTTTTTTGGGGGGGAAGGGTCTACAAGGTGCTCAGGGTCTTACTACTAGAGCAGACTTCTAATGATCCACCTATTTTCAGCTTCCCAAGAGCTAGGATTACAGGCCAGTACCACCACACCTAGTCTCAATTACAGTCTCAGACACACCCCCGGGGGGGGGGGGTCGTCATGACAGGCCCAGGGATCAAATCACCAGCCCCTGCGCCTGCTTGCAGGTGCTTTAATCAGCTGAGCTATTTGGCAGACCCTTATACAATAAGTCTTAAATCCAAATTTAGCTTATTAAGCAAGAAAAATTGCCCTTGATTATTCCTAAAATCAGACTTAAATTAACAGGTTGTACAGCTTCACATAGAAGCTAACAGTTTTTTCTTTCCCATATTTTTGAGTGTTATTCATTTTTTCCTGTGAAAGAAAGATAATCTGGATTTATAGATTGGGCAAGAGAGGTGCCATGTAGGAATAAAATGGAATCTTTTTTTCTGCTGCAATCTCAGGTTTGGAAGTGAGTATGATAGAATGCTATCATACATGAGCTGTTGAGCCTATATCTCTTCTTTTATAATTCATAATTTTTTAGGGCCGGCAAGAGGAGCAGGGGCTGGGAGTTCAATCCCCTGGCCTGCCTTACTGGCCTTGCCACCATGGCATGCTGAGACTACAATTGAGACTGGGTGTGGTGGTGTGCACTCCTGTAATCCCAGCTCTTGGGAAGCTGAAAACAGGTTGATCACTCTGAGTCCAATCTAGTAGTGAGACCCTGAACACCCTGTAGACCCTTCCCTAAAAAATTATAATTTTTTAAAAAGAATAAAAACAAAAATGAAGTAGAATTTCAAAATAGGAAGACAGGAAATTAACAATGGCTTTTTATATTGTATATTGTTATCTTCAAAGTAGTTGCTCAGATTATCAGACATAGGCATGGAAGATTTAATAAACAATATAAACGCTAACTCTCCCTTTTTTCTTTTAAATGTACATATGCGAATTCAAAATACACACAGTTGAATATGTTTTCTTATTTGAATTAACAAATTATATATGAAGATATATAAAGATCGGCAAAAAGGAGCGAGAACAGTACTCCAGGAAGAGATCAGTATGTTCAAGGTCTTATGGAATGAGGGAGAGTGGCAAACACTAAAACTAATGAAAAGAGGGCAGAAAATAAGAAACAGAAATTGAAGTCACTCATCATGGGCATTGCAAAGCAACAACAGCATCCTAAAAATTTTGTGTATCTGAACACGAAGCCCCCTTCTCTGATCTCGTCATACTATACCTGCAAGGATTTACCTGGCAACCTCAACTGAACTGGAAGCCTTTTTCTGTTCATTTCATTATGATACTGCAGTTTCCCCTAAGGGTTTTAGACACTGAATTAAATAAGCATTTGTGAGTGCATAATTTGCATAACCCGTCATTGATGTTATTCTACATTTTGGAACATGCTGAAATTTATATAATCTACTGCAAATTACTAATTTTTTATTTTATGTTTTTTCATGAATAAATGATTTCTTAAAAATAAGTGATTGAGGGCCAGCCAAAGAGCTTAGCGGATTAAAGCTCCTGCAAGCAGGCACAGGGGCCAGGGGGTTGATCCCTGGGCTGCAGTGTCCCCTCCTGGGGGGAGGGGGACTGTGCTGAGACAGTGATTGAGACTGGGCGTGGTGGCATGTGCCTGTAATGCCAGCTCCTGGGGGGCTGTAAACAGGCAGATCACTAGGAGTCCAATCTAATAATGAGACTCTGAACATCCTGTAGACCCTTCCCTAAAATAAAATAGATGATTGAATACTGAATATATAGTACAGTCCCCAGAAAACTGGCTGGATTGGCTCAAAATTTTTAGTCAATTTTCTATAAGCAAAATCACTCCTCCCGCTTTAAATCTGTGGCTCTACGCACCTGGGCAGGCAACTTTCTCTACTTACCTGCTTCTTTGCTCAGATTTTCCTTTTTATAAAATAAGGCATATATCTATGAACACATTGAAAAACTACGTATTAATGTGCATGCAACACTGAATACAGAATCAGAGGATAAGAGCTGTTACATAATTCCTTTCTCATGCAAGAAAGGAAAAATGATTTACTTAATTGCTTGTGCTTAAGGGCAATGTCATCTTGTAAGCCTTACAGTTTTATCCTGATGGGAGAATATTAAGTTACTAATGGCACCAGTCAATAAAAAAAATTCGTAGGCTATGAACCAGTGTTTGAGGGAAAGAACAGAACTGGCAAGTGATGGTATTAATTGATGAAATTTCATGTTTCAGACACTTGACTCTTTATAGAGATGACTTTATGCCCCTGTACAGCCATCAGTGCTCTGTAAATGAGGAAAGTTAAATGATATTATTAACTTCAATGTTCTTAACTACAATTTCCTCTTACAGAAAGCAGCAATCCTGCTCAACCTCTGAGCATTTCTTTGTGGCTGTGTGATGCACATTATAATGAAAGGACTTTGGATTTCTAGTTTTTCCATGAATATTTATTTAGCATTAACTAAGACAAAAGGTCTTGTGTTGGATAAAATATTACCAGCATAGTTGAAATCCGGCTGCCAAACCACAAACATAATAACCTACTTTATATGTAAAGATAATTAATATTTCAAATTGAGTTATTTATCTAAAAATTAAAGTTACGACTATGGTTAAGGCAAGAACGTTTTGTAGGTTGCTTGTAGGTCTTTATGAAAGGTACATGTTAGGCTTTCATTCTTGCCAAGTCTGCTCGGCAAGGAGGCAGGAAAGAAAAGGTGTAAGAGATCCTGAGTGTGGCATAGACAGGCAGGTGAGAATACACCTATACGCCTTTCTATTGTGATGGAAGAAACTGGTGAGAAACTAAAAGGGTGTGCACTTACAGTAATAGTAAAAGAAATCCTGAGGGGTTGTAGCAGCTGATAATGGTTTGCAAATTCTTCAATCTGTCAGAAAAATTGGAAAACTAGTACTTGAAATTTTGCTTAATTGTAGATAGGTCAGTAATTTCTCTCTTTCTACTTTCTTTCAAATATTTTTCATTTTATGTTAGTTTACTAGGATAGGCATGAAAAGCACCACAAATGGAGTGGCTTTGAACAATATACATTGTCCTTTTATGGCTCTGGAGACTAAAAGTCTGACACCAAGGAGCGGATGGGCTGTGCTCCCTTCAGATTGTGGAGGGCTGGTCCCTCCCGGCCTCTTCCAGTTTCCAGGACCCATTCACGTCCAACACATTGCCTCTGGCCTCTGATTCCACCATCACCAGGCCTTATCTGGCTCTGTGACTTTGCATGGCATCTTCTCTCTGCAACTGGATCCAAATTGCCACCTTTGTGTAAAAAGAACCGTCTGTTGGATGGGAGCCCACCTGCTCTAGGGCAATTTCATTTGAATGTGATTCATTACTTCTGCAGTAACCTAATTTCCTAATAAGGTCATATTCTGAGTTACTAGGCACAAGTACTTGAACACATCTTTTGAGGTATATTACCAAATCTACTCCAAGAATCAGCCTTTCAGGCTGTACATAATCCTAATATGTTAATATACCTATAGCTACTTAAACATAAATTAATAACAAAGCTTGTCAAATTAATACAGTTGAGGTGACCATGATGTGTTTTGCTGATGTCCACATGTTAATCTGTAAGGGCAAAACCCAGCTTTGACGTACTTCCAAACAGAATTAAAGTAGCACTGGCTCAATGCAACACACATGCAAAAGAGGCTGGGCTTGCTCGACTGAATTCACAGATACACACTAGCTATGAGGCTCACTGTGAGACCCAGGACTGAGCAATCCAGAGTGACTGCTTAGCTATTCACCAAATGTTAACTTTGCCTTGCAACCATTTCTTTTTTCCTGAAACAGACCCACCACAAACCAGGAAACAGCAGGTTATTGGAGAGTGTATGCATTGAAAAGACACACAGACCTAAGCTTGAAGCTCCACCACTATTAGCAAAGTGACCCTGAGAAAATATACTCTTCAAGTCTACAAATTGTAAATCTGTAAAAGGAGAGGGACTTGGAACTAATGTCCAGTGCAAATGCAAAAGTCTTTACTAAATACAACTTTGTTCCAACTTTATCATAAAAATGACATTCTAAGATTAAACAATTACATACAAATGGGGTACAACAAAATTGTCACGCAGTATAAAATTTAAATGCAATATGTACCAACTTTAATTACAATTACACACTAAAGTAAATGTGCTCGATTTCTGGTAATTACAAAAATAAAATTAGATCAAAACAGAATTGAAAAACAAGAATCTCTCATTTAGAAACATCTCTAGAGTTTTGCCAATGCTCCAGGTGTTTTTTCAGAGGCAATGTATCATAGGAAGGTATAATATAAAAAGTATGTGGAAAGTGCCACAACTTACCCCACCAACTTTCTCAAAGTGAGATCCATCTTTCTTAAAATCCGTGAGGGCCCCATTGAAATACCACGTAAACATAATATCTAGTAAAGGGTCATGTTGCACCTGGCAGGGCAAAATGACACTTTCTCCCACTGAGACATCCATATTAGAAGGGGCCAAAGTTATTCTCGTAGGTTCTATTAGGAAAACAATTAGGTAAAATGTTAGCATTTTATCATAATGTAAACAATTTGTACAGGAGAAATGTCAGTTGACTTACAGTGTATATGTTTGCAGATATACAGTATATACATACATCTATGTAATTGAAAGTGAACAAGATGGAAATATGCTTATTTTCAAGTAAAATACTATATTTTACTAGACCCACAAATCTGTGCTAAGAAATTAGCATATGTGAGTTCTCAGGATATTAAAATTTAAAGTCATCTGTAAACTGTTGTAATAATATTGACAGAATCATTTTCAACTTAGTTCCACTATTTTCGTGAAATATAAGGGTAAAAACAAAAGGTAGTATGTTTTTTGACAAATGTCAGTGGCTGAGAATAGTATTACCATTGAAGTTTAAACACACTTAAGTCCTTCATGTCTGAGACACTACTCAAGTGATAACTCTGAATGGGGACAATGAGAGGGGCACTATGCTAAACTGTCAGTCAGTGCATTTGTCCCAAAGCAAATGTCCACATGCACACTTTTTCCCTGTCATCACCACAGATCTACCAGCTTTTATGACCCCTACTTCCCTAGACCTCACTTTCTCATCTTCCCCATGTGTTAGTATAACATGGCAGCGAAAGTCTTCAAAGTTGCCATTTGTAGATTTTTCTCTGAGCACTTCTTTTCAGTTATCTGTGAAATCCAGTCCAGCCTGGATTTTGTTTCCCTGACCCACCTTCCCCATCGAGGTCCCTGCTGTAGTACCCAGTGGTAATTTTGTGGTCTTCTGTTACTGGAATTACTTAGCTGTCACTGCTGTGCTTGACCACTGGCTTCTCCTCATTAAAATTTTTGTCTCTTGGTTTCTATTATCTTAGTTTTCTTCTCTCATCCTGTAAACATTTTTCATGTCTATTTTTTTAAATATATTTAGTGCAGGGTCTATAGAATCTCACTATGTAGATCTGACTTGTGGTGATCCTCCTGTTTATAGCCTTCCAAGTGCTGGGATAATAGGTATACACCACTCTGCCTAGTCTCAATCACCATCTCAGTGCGCCCTGGGAGCGGGGCTGGCGCTGCATGTCCTGGTCCCTAAGTCTGACTAAGCAGGTACTTTAATCCACTGAGCCATCTGGCAGGCCCTTTCATGTCTATCGTTATGCCAAATTTTCAACTTTTATTCCCACATTTCTTAGTGTATAATGTGTGCTCAGTCCTGTTTTTATTTTTTGAATTCCCTGTATTTATGCACTCTTTTGATAATAGGAGCTAGCCACTGGGCTTCAGGCAGCTACCTAGAAGCCAGTGATTGGGAGCTCTGCACTGATAACTCTCCTATGTCCAAATTCTTCTATTCAGTTACCTACTCAGCATCTCCATGTAGATGTCAATCATAATTTCTTTCTTTAGGGTACATAGTAGGATTAAAATCTTAACAATTTGAATTCAAGCATAGCCTGAAGCTGTGCTTTGGCTGATGAAATAGGAGTTGCACTGAAAGGCTGAAGTCTAAAACTAATGGGTACACGATATGCTGTCTTTGCCCATCTGTGGTAAAAGGCCACATGGCAGATGGTGGAGACAGTAAATCCCCTCATCCCAAGGAAGAGGGCATAGCTGACTCACCAGGGACTTGTCTTATGAGCAAAAAGTGAACTTCTGCTATTTTCATCCACTGAGATCCTGGCCAACCCACAACCTGCTCCACACAGAACCTGTAAACATCTCATCCTCAGCACATCCAAAGTGAAGCCGTCATCATCCTCCTCTCCATTGCTGTCCAGCACCATCTCAACTCTTTTGACTGTCATCTTGTTGTTCACCTTGCAGAAGTTCTGTATTCTTCTCTTACTCTGGACATAACATCTAATTGCAGTACTTCCTGCCGGCTCTGGTTATATCTAGAATCTGATTCCACACCGTTGTCTCTGCGGCTGCCAGCCCCTGCTGGCCATGACTACCTTCTTTCTGATTTACAGCAATGACTCCTCAGGACTTCTCTGTTTCTCCCCTTCCTCCGCACAGTGCGCTCAAGACAGAAGCAAGAGCCATTATTTTAAAATGTCATTCCCATGGCCTCATTTGTCTGCTAAATACCAGCCCTTGACTTCACTTTTCAATTCAACCAAAAGCTGAAGTTTTTAAAAGGTCTCCACAGTGTTTAAATAATTGTCCCTAGGAAATGTTAGTTTTCATCTTTGTCTCCCTAGAATCTTTGTCCCAATTTCCCCTTAGTGAGTTCTCTTCCGAACACTGTTTCATACTCTTACTTTTTCTTTCTATCTGGGGTAGAATTTAAGATTTATGCAAGTAGTATCTTTGTAGAAATCCTCCCTAGCATAGTTCAATGACTTGCCACATACCAGTTGCTCATTTTTTTTCTCAAATAACATGAAAAACTGTATCTACAACTTTAAGCAATTATTTTCATGAACTTGGACACCACCAGAAAATTCTAATTAAATTGAAAAAAAAAATCACTGTGTGTGAAATATGGGCAAGCAGAACAGCACAAAATAAGGAATAGTTGCTAATGCATCTTTCCTTGCACACTGTCCTGTGCTTAACAAATATTACGTAATATATCCTATAAAATTACAAGAAAATAAAATGGGTTCTACTACATGCTGCACTGCACTTATGCAGAACCTGTGCTCAACAGCCTTAACCAGGATGACGTGGGGTACAGGGCATCCCTCGGGAGTGTGGTCAGTGAGATACGCACCCACCTGTGACCACCAGGACAGTTGTGCCATTCGCTTTCCCAAACTGGTTTTCTGCTGTGCAGGTGTAGGTTCCAGAATCTGCTTTAGTCACATTGGCTATTTTAAGTCCTCCGTCTTTTAGAAAAGAAATTCTAAAACAGAGAGAAATTAGGCCAATAAATGTACAATGGTCACTCATCCCAAATAAACATTTTTTAATAAAATGTATTGCACTAAGATGTTTAAGTATCACTCACCAGTCCAGTATAATGAGAAAACAAGCTCTGTCCATCTGAATTTTTGCATGATATTTTAGGTGGCATTATTTAACAGTAGTACTTAAGATTATGCCTAATTTTGGTAATGACTTTATTAAATTAGTGTGAAGTGTTTTCCAAAAATATATCTTGTGATAGATTACTCATGAGGTTGCCTTCCAAGTTTGTGTATAAAAAGGGTAGGCATGACAACATTATTTTCCTGACTTTTAAAAACAGTATATGAAAAACAAAAAAACTGCTTGTATCGCATTATGGACTAAAAAAAGCTGCAACTGACTCCATAAAAATTCAAATTTTTCAAAATAACAACAACAAAAACAAAAGCATTTGCACGACCAGCTGTGAACCATGGCACAGAATCTGTGCAGCTCACACGACTGCAACACACCATCGCACAACTGCTCGAAGCTCTAGCATCTATGACTTGATCAAGGAAACACAAATGAGCAGTCGGCACGGGACACACGCTGAGAGTGCGAGCAAACTTAGAAAGTCTCTGCCACTGTAGAAAAATATCCTAATAAGAGGCACAGATATTAGTAAGTAAACACGAAAAGTTCAGTCTTGAGAAATAATCTGAAGGAGATAAAAAAGGATTATACATCCAAAGTAACTGGTTTATCAAGCATTTCCAGAACGACTGGTTTTTAAAAAGTTGAGCATCAAAAATGTCGTTACTACTGACTTTATGTATCAGAATGTACAAATTTCGCATTTTGTTAGGTACCCCATCCATCCCTTTACTGACTGTGATTCACTTTCGCTTGCATTCCAGTTTTTTTTTTTTGCTTTTTTTGTTGTTGTTGTTGTTTTGTTTTTGAGTGAAAAGTTCACAATGGAAACTGGGCTCGCACACAGGGATCTCATGGTTCTGTGTAGAGCTAGCCAGAAAGCTTTCTAGCTATGTGGCATTTTCTTACCATGTGAGGGGATGCATAAACCCGAAAGGCTTGGGCACAATGACCACAACCTAGCCATCTAAACAAGGAATAAGAGCATTGTATTCAACTTGAGTAATTACATGGAATATTGAAACATCTAAGGACTTTTCTTACGAGCCTTTAAAATACATGTTATTTCTGAGTCCTTCATGCACCATGACCATTTTGTGGGGGTAGGAAAGCAAAACTGGCAAGATAGCTCAGTGGACTAAGTGTCTGGTTAGGCAAGTGCAAGGACCAGGCATGCTGCATCAACCCCGGCCCCCAAGGAGCGCTGAGCTAGCAACCAAGTCTAGCTGTGGTGGCACACACCTGTGATCTCAATGCAAGTGAAGCTGAAAACAGGAGGATTATTATGAGTCTGAGCTACACACAGAGACCCTGTACTAAGTACATAAATTTAAAAAAAAAGAAAAGAAAATCCATTGTTTACCTAATGAGGTGTTTAAGAACTTTATGAAGAAAATCTCTTTGTATCTTATTGTAGAAAAGAACAAAACATTTTCTTTTTTTCTGGCTTTATTGTGTTTCTTCATTTTTGGTATTGGAGATTGAACTGGAGATGAAGGTACTAGAACCTTCATACTTATACACTGAGCTACCTCCCCAGTTCCTTTATTTATTTATTTATTTGTTTACATTTTTAGGGAAGGGTCTACAGGGTGTTCAGGGTCTCACTACTAGATCAGACTCCTAGTGATCCGCCTGTTTACAGCCTCCCAAGAGCTGGGATTACAAGTGCGTGCCACAATGCCCAGTCTCAAATGCAGTCTCAGTGCGCCCCGGGGGGGGGGGGGGCGGCACAGCAGGCCCAGGATCAAACCCCCAGCTCCTGCTCCTGCCTGTAAGCACTTTAATCCACTACCCAGTTCCTTTAAAGAAATTTGGTTTTGACATAGGTTCTTCTAAGTCATGAAGTTTCCCAGGTATGCTCAGACTTGTGACCTTTCTGCCTCAGCTTCGCAGAGCTCTAGAATTAGAGGAATGTGCTACCAACCACAGCTCAAAGACTTTTTTTACTGAGTATAGAACAAGTGAAACTGGAATCCCTGCAGAGAATTACAAATGAGTCAAACAGGATATAGGGTCAAGATGTTTTGAAAAAGAAGTGATGCAAACTCAAGGAAACATAAATGCGATTGCTGAATGCTGTCCTCATCCCTCTACCTGCAGGCCTTTTGCACACAGCCTCCCTGTACCCCATATTGTGACATCACACCACCTGCAGGACACAGACGGCAGCCTAAGGGGGATCTGCAGCCTTGCATCAGGACCTGACTTTCTGCAACTTCCTGTCACATCAGGAGTCTGATCACTTGCCTTTCTCCCATCACACATGCTGTTCTTTAGTTGCTCACTTTAGCCTCAGGGATTTTCTAAAAATGATTCCCTTTAACTCACTGGCCTACACTAACTCTCCTGCCATCATACGCTTTCCAGAACTGGACATCTGGAGGAAGTCTCCTATATGTGATCAATACATTCTCTGTATTGTTCATAACATGTTTATATGCACTAAAACATGAGATTGCATCCTATAATGTGGACAAAATTTACATGCCAATTATAAAATTACCCATGCACTTTCACGGAACCTTATAAAGGGCCAATTGCACACTGTGTGTCTATATTTTACAGATAGTTTCTTTTATTTTTTTTAAATGTAATTAGTACAGAGTCTATAGAATCTCACTACATAGATTGGACTCCTAGTGATCCTTCTGCTTTCAGCCCCCCAAGTGCTGAGATTACAGGCGTGTGCCACCATGCCCAATCTCAATCACTCTCTCAGTGTGCTTGGGAGACAGGGCCAGCACGGCATGCTAGGGATTGAACCCCAGCCCCTGAGCTCTGCCTAAGCAGGCACTTTAGTCCAATGAGCTATCTGGCTGGCCCTTCACTTCCTTCTTAATAAACAGTGACTTTATATAGGAAGGAACAGTGCATAGATTACTTGTGACTAAATTTCTAGATCCTTGCACAGTTCCTGGAATAGACTAGGCATTCAAACATCATATTTATAGAATGAATAACTGGTTCAGTGCTAGTGGTGGCAAACTTCTGACATGCATTCCACAGGAAGCTCTATCATGGAAAACTCCAAAAGGGTCACCACCCGGCTCTACGCCTTTAGACAGCCACTGGAGAAGACCCGGAGTTAAGAAAGCCAGGTTATAAGACACAGAAAACTGACAAAGACAAGAAAATACATTAAAAAGTGTTCAGAGGGTTATAGATGCATGTGTACATGTACACACTCGCACACATGCGCATAGTGCACACAGTTACGGATGTGTGAAAACACTTCCACATATATATAGCTATTCTTTAGAATCCACATGAATTGTTTTTGAGCCTCCCAGTGAATACCTTGGATACAAAATCTATTTTATCACATGGTGCATAACCTGCCCACAGCCTGTCAGACACTTGGTGCATCCCTACATCAGCAATACCTAATAGAATGCAAATGCTACATAAATAGTTGTCGCACCCTTTTAAGGTATGAGAAGTGTAGACCTATTCAGAACAGTGGATGATATCAGAAGGTTGTAAAGATATTTAAATGGTGAGCTAAACTCCTCTGTTTTGAGTTACACAGGGTAGACATAGTACTGGAAGCCTCAGGAAGCTGGAACCTACCGCTTATGGGATTAGAAATATTTAAAACAAAAAATGGAAATACCTCTTGTAGACTGGACACATATTGACTTTAAATTGAGAGCCTCAGATTTTGGTACCACAAAACAGAGACAGACATTTTGTTATTTTCTCATGCTATAAATTATTATATTAGTATGTTCTATATTTCTACTATAAATATAAAAATATTTGGAATAATAAAAGAAAGAAAAAAATCTTTGGTGTGTTAGTTCCAGTTTTTCTCATGAAGCTAATGTGGGTTCATGACCTCTGGGAAATGAGGAACAATTTCAAAGGTAAGGCCTAACAACCTTAGGAATCACACAGCACTCCACAACAAACATATTGACTCTCAAAGAATGCAAACTCTGTGTGTATCATAAAATTTTCAGCTAATTGGATATTTTCTTCCTAAATTGGTTCTTCCAGTAAGTCCTAAGAGGCCCACAGGGCATTTCACACAACATAAAAATAAACAATATTCAGTAAACGGATGGAGTAATTGTTTCTCAACAGAAAACCTTCAATAACCCAGGCATCCCTACAGAGATTCGAAGTGAAATTTTTATACCACTTCACTATAAATGAAATTGCTTTCTAAGCTTTCTGAGAACAGGATTGTCTGCAAATAGATAGTGCTGAAAATACAGATAACAATGAATGGCTTTGGTCTTGGCACAGAAATGTCAAATGAAGATTTATGAGATTAACATTCAGAAATACGGCATTCTAGTTTGCTTTGAGATGTGTGCATTTTAAACCATTGTGGCATTTTAACTTGCTGATCAGTTTTATCATATACCTTTACATGTACCTTTTATTGCTCTTTCTTTTTGTAGTAAGAAGTTAATTATTTCACTTAACTGTGCAGTCTATGGTTAGTTTGGAATAAGTGAATAAGTCAACATAATTGCTCTAAGCTGCTCTAATGGTCCATGCTGTAATTCGGCGATGGCAGGGATTTCATGACTTTTAAAAAACCTTGTTTGCTTAGAAAGTGTACTGTTGTCTAGGCAACATTGACCTGTATTTTCCGATGACATTTAAGCATCCATAATAACAGAGTTAGGTTTTAGAATGGAAGCGTGTCAAATATTTTGCATGCAAAACAGTATTTCTGAAAATATTGTTTTTCCCTTGCCTGTGTTCTGAAAATTACGGTAATTTATTCAACCTGAAGCTCAGCAAATGCAGTGCACCTCTACATTTTCTCAGAAAGTACATCTCAGTAGAGATGAGATCATACGAGATCATAATGATTAGACTGCTGTATGGAAAATAACCAGG